CCACACAATTATCCTTAATCTATACCTGGCCACTTGTATTCGAGGATACACGTCTACTAGGGCGGCTAGACAATCCCTATTGCAGACGCTTGCACAGACATATTTTGTGTTTCTTCAACACCTAGAGAGCCCACTTGTGGTTTATACTGCAACTATGCTGACTTTAGTTACAGTTTCTGGGAAAGAGCGTGTTATCTAGCGTGATCAACAATCTTAACAAGGCTAGCACGCTCAAACCTTCGGTCACGATGACTTGTGACTTCGTGCTCGCACAGCTACTGACGGCCCTCGCGGATTCCGTCTACCCAATTTCACTCACAAGGCTTGGGTCAATCCCTAGTATGATTTTTCAGGCACTTTCCAAAGGTGCCGCACACTGGGATCGCCCCCTCCTTACCGATAACATCAGGAAGTCTCCTTCCTCCCAAATCGACCATGGTGAGGTTCGAAACCGGGTCTCATAGAAAGCGATCGGTTTAACCACTCGGCCACATGCCCTTAATACTATTATTATTATCATTATTATTATCATTATTATTATTATCATTATTATTATTATTATTATTAAAGCGATAAAAATTCTATTCCTACATACACACACACATACACACAAACACACCAATAAAATTCTTGCGCACTCGGCTACTTATTTTAACACATCTATACACACATAGACACTTATGTGCAATTCTTGTTGCTTTTTAGGTCCTCATCATTGTTATTATTACTATTATCATTTCATGCGTTGTAAGGTTATCTTCGAAATTTCTACACATATACACATATATATATATACACACACAAATTGAATTTTTGTGCAGTGATCATTTTGTGATTGCCCCAAAGGTCCTATAAAATAGAATTCATGACACTTGAACAACTTAAAACTTTGTTATCATAAACTACTAAACACGTTCTTGTCATTAGGCAAGACCACTGAATCATGGGAGACACAAATGTTCGTCAACAAAATGTCAAGATAATCAATCTTTGCCGGAAAATTACTACACCTGACCACGTGATCATGATCGTCAAATCAGATTGCATTTTAAACAGATGGCAAGCTAGGCTTCCTTTTTTGTATAAAACGAAAAAATTCTCCCTCACCAGTTAAATACGATACATATCATGTCATAGGCACAAATTTCCCAAACTCAGTTTAACTTTTGAAAACCCTAGACCTGTAAAGCCGCTAAAGTTACTCTAAATAAATCTTCTTTAATAATCCAGTGGTATTTTCAACTTTTGTTTCCTATATTTTACTTGAGTGATATATATATATATATATATATATATATATATATATATATATATATATATATATATATTTTTTTTCATGACGGTCGTCCTCGAGTATAGAATTCAGAGGTTGGCAGTGAATATTTCGGAGACAGTAGGAAAGCGTAGTGCAGGTTCGCAGGGGATATCGCAGCAAGCTAGCAGAGCGTAGTTCTTCCGTCTGTCCTGTTCGCCGGACAAGTTGCCTCTGGTCAGGTTGGTAGGAAAACAAAGATGGCCGACTTTATACATGACGGATACAGTGTTGTGCGGCATCTGATTGGTCAACCTTCTATTGGTAGACTATAAAGGGAAATAAGTCCTTTTGACTCGCTCACTAGTTATATATCCATATATACCCAAAAAAACCGTAACAATATATATATTATGAAATGGACAAAGTCTGACAATTATTTTAAGACATTTTTATGTTTATACATTCGTTTTATAGATACAAATATTTAAGTAAATGCTCTGTTTATAATAAACAGCATTAAACAGCATTTACCGGCCTGAATGTCCGAGAAATTTTCATAGAAAATATTCGTCTCCGACAAAAATCAAACCTGTATCCTATACAGAACCGTTATATAGCCTGACGTGCTATTAACCGATTGGGTCACAGAGGAGTGTCACCTGTTTACATTTGGATACGCTATGAATAGATATGAATGTACGTGAGAGGATCATGGAAGATTGTAGTTTAAAGACAGTAAAATCGACCTTGCTAACAGAACGCTCCTCTGTGGCCGAATCGGTTAAAGGCACGTCAAGCTATATGACGGTTCCGTATAGGATACAGGTTCGATTCCTGTCACGAAAATGAATATTTTCTATGAAAATTTCTCGGACATTTAGGCCCGTAAATACTGTTTATTATGAACAAAACTAAAGTTAATTTAGCTAAAACATTTTTTTTTAAATATTGACACTAAATTGCGATTATTATTATATTAGATATGCGGGATTTCGGATATGAGGCACCCCAGATATGAGGGATTCCGGATATGAGAGATTCTGTTGTATTATCACGAGAAGATAATGTGCAAACAGATTGGTTCTTGTTGCAATATATAACAATCATCTTCACAGTGTCTATAACAATGCTACATTTGTCTGTACAACGACGGCTCATTCGAAACGGTTGACATTGCAACCGGCAATTTGGGCTAAATTCATACGGTGTCAGCAGTAAAAAACAGTCCAGTGTTTTCATAACCTATTTCATACGTAGTTTTGTGCTTAATTGACGCAAGAAAATGGCTTGTAAATTTTAACGCCAATAAAAAAAAAATCTGCTCTTATTTAAACATCATAGAGAAACGTTTACGCCGCCTGCCATCACCATGTCTGGCGCTAGACTACTGGAGAGCAAGACGTTGCAGTTCTTGGCCTCACGTTTTCAACTGACTTGAAGTGAAGCAACTACATCGAATCAGTAGCTTCAAGAATAGTTGGGCCACTGTGTCCTGCAAAGAAATTGTTCTCGCCAGAGTTCATTTTCCGCATTTACAAATCTATCATCCGTTCGTCCATTGAAAGCTGTTGCTATATCAGATCTGGTGATCCTGCTATTCATCTGGAGGTTCTTTACAAAATCCAAAGAAGGATCTGTAATGTAATCGATCCTACATTGCCATCTGGACTTCATTCTCAACGACGTGGCGTGACTTCCCTCTGTCTTTTCTACAAATATTTTCATGGCAACTGCTCTGACGAGTTTTTTTCCCCCTGGCTCCCAAACTACATGAATTTATGCGTGCCACTAGATTGGCATTTATGTCCCCCACTCCTTTTACTGCTGAAATATTTAAATGTAACTGCCACTTCTACTCCAAAAGTTTCTTTTCTCGTGCTCCTCGCCTGTGGAATTTCCTTCCGTTTAATGACACTAATCTTCAAAAATTTAAATCGCCATCATCTATCTTCTTGAACCCCATTTATGTATTTTTTTTCCTTTCGTCTATCCTCGCAATAATCATTCATTTCTCTCACTTTTATTTCCTGTAACCCCCCTGCGTACTAGAGGCGTTCCCCCACTACAACTGGTGCAATAATGTTTCATTATAACAAACATATATAATAGGTTGGTGCAAAAATAATGACGTAATAATGTCGTTTTTTGACGTATTTTTTAACGTCAAAAACGATATTATTACGTCATTATTTTTGAACCAATCTAATATCTTGCTATCATTGATTTTGCGTCGTTCAGAGAATAGCAGTTTCTTTTACGCCGATTAAATAAAAGATTACCAAAAATTGTTTGGTATCACGGAAGAGTTCTGTTAGTCTTAAGTTGAGAATAAGTCTGAAAAAGAAAACGATTAAGAATGAAAGAAAGTGAAAAGGAGTAAAAGGGAGTCAGTAAAAAAAAAAAGTCAAAAGTGAAAGAGATTTGATATTTATTTCACAATCTAGAACTACAAAAACAGGGAAGAGGACTGTTTTGATATATGTAGTGGTCAACGAGCACTTAGATGCTTAAGGCATTTTCACAGGAAGAGAAGGTATTTTATCGGGAGAGAGAAAGGTAGGTAGAAAGTAAGGACGTCTTAATAAAAGAAGGAAAGGATAATGAAGAGATGAAAGAAAAAAAGATTACCATATTTTCCGGCATACAAGACGCACATTTTTTAAAAAAATATCCTGAAAAATACGTGTGCGTCTTCCAGGCTCAAGTAAACTTGGACGGTCACCTAATTAGCTTGTCTGATAGGGACGTTAATTTGTATGTTGAGTCATTACACTATAATCTTAGCTATCTATCTAATCCAGCCTTTTATATGATGTAACCCCAGTTATTAGCTGTGACAAGTAAAAAATAAAAGCTTCCAGAGAGACTTTTCATTTATAAATTAATTCAAAATCTTAGGTATCGCGTTTCTTTGGAGTTACTTATATATATATGTTAAGAAATGGACAAGGTCCGACAATTTATTTATTAAAGATTTACTGTTTATAAACTTCAATTCGACCTTGTCTACCGTAAGGTTCTTTCTGGCCGAGCGGTCAAGGCACGTCAGCGTATATGACGGTTCCGTATAGGATGCAGGTTCGAATCCTGTCAAAGAACGAATATTTTCTATGAAAATTTCTCGGACATTCAGGCCGGTAAATGTTGTTTAATACTGTTTATCATAAACAGAGCATTTGCTTAAATACTTGTATCTATAAATAACAACGTTAAACATAAAAATGTCTTTAATATATATATATATGTGTGTGTGTGTGTTAAACAGCTATCTAATTCAACCTTGTATATAATGTAACCTCAGTAGTATAATAATTCAAATAATGTAACCTCAGTACTATAATAATTCAACCTTTTATATAATGTAACCTCAGTACTATAATAATAATATTAATAATATATATATATATATATATGTGTGTGTGTGTTAGCTAGCTATCTAATTCAACCTTTTATATAATGTAACCTCATTACTTATCTGTTACAAGCATTTCCAAGACTATAAACCTTCCTGGAGCCGAGCCACACACTTAAACATGCTCTCTCTACTGGCAGTAGTGGGAGCCTTTCTACTCTTGTGTAGTATGTCATTGCCGTACAAATAAAATCGGACGAGTGATTAATATTAAGAATACGTGGCACCAGTATGCGAGGGACGCATTGTGAATGTGCTGCTGCATGAGAATGACTTTTTTTTTTTAGAAATTGCTTTCCAGTATTAGTGTGCGTCTTCCAAGCCGGAAAATACGCTAATTTCAATAGACTTGCAAAAGAAATGGAAAAGGATTTGAAAAGAGACTGGAATGATCAAATAGATGAAATACAAAAGAAGAAAAGAAGGAATATTTGAAAAAATAAAGATAGATTGAAAGTAGGAGTGGAGTGAAGTAAGAAAGAGTAAAACAGAAATACAGAAAGCTAAAAGAACAACAGAAAAATAAAGATTGAAGATAGAAAAAAAGGTGTTTAGATAAATGGAAGGCGAAAAGAAAATGAAGAACATATTGGCTACACTAATGTTCAAAGAAAGAATGAAACAGAGAAAGGAAGGAAGGAAGGAAGGAAGGAAGGAAGGAAGGAAGGAAGGAAGGAGGATTTTAAGTAAATAAAAAAAATAAAGATTAAAAATTAAAAAAAATGAAATTTGAAATAAAGAACAAGCAAAGAAAAGAGAAGATAAAAGAATGAGGGGAAGGAATTTAACATAGGTGTCGGGGAAAAGAAAGAAAGGATATTTTAAACAAATGTAAAGTAGAAACAAACAAAGACTAAAACTGTGAAGCAGAAAGTAAAAATTCCAGAAAAATAAGGATTGCTTTGACAAAAAGAATACAAGCTCTCAATCCGATGTAAGCAAAATACCTCATGACTGTATTCTACCGTAACCAGATGAACATTAGCTACAAACAAAAGGCAAACGTATTAAAAATATCATTCGCCGTTATATACCACATAATGACTAAATAAACACTTTACATGTATTTAAAAAATATATAAAGTACACCCTTGTGAAAAGGAATTGACTCAAAACGAATAATTCTTTTATTAACGTATTTCCCCCATGGAACATCACGCGCTGCACATCCTCTATCCATTCTACGAAGTCGTTCCTTGCAGATTGACCACAAATTCACGATTGGATTTAAATGAGGAGAGTTTCCGAGCCAGTCTATAATACTTTGGTTTGCTCACTGGTAATGCTTGCCAGTGTGTTTGTGCAGCATTACATTTTTCGTACCCTGCCTTGTAGTAACGTCCATCGCAGGCAATAACTGTAGGACAACTAATCGACAGTCGAAACAATAGTGTCTGGGCGTGATAAATATCTAATGCAATAACGGATGAAAAGGACAAACAAATTTCATCATCCCCCACCGAAAATAGATTTATATTAATGCACACTACTGCCAATGGCCTAATCTGAGAAAAATAGAAATCGATTACACACTGTCACTCCAGGGCGTCTAAAACGGTGGCGAAATGGTGAAAGTATGGTGAAAGAAAGGAAACTAACGCGGTTTTTTTTAATTAATTTGAACAAGGGTGTAGAAAGTGTAATAAATGTATAAAAAAATACTAATCTAATAATAATTGTCATCTAAAAAAAGTTGCTTATGAATTCTGTTGTCTTTTTGAGATTGTATTGCCAACATCAATAAAAAAAACCATTAAAAAATGAGAAAAATGAAGAATAAATTGTGATATAAAGAGAGAAGACAGACGAAGTGAATGGAGAATAGAAAAGAAATTTTCTAAGAAGAAAGAATGAAAATGAATTAATCAAAAGTTGAATAGATAAGCTAAAAGAACAAATATAGAAAATAGCAAAATCGAAAATAAAGGAAAAAGGAAAAGACGAGAAAGAAGTAAAATTTTGTGGTGTCCGTTAATAATTAAATACAGCTCAAGACTTCAATGTTAAATAAAATAGTATATAATTACAACCACAAATAAATACTTAACAAGAACAAAGAAGTAAAATCAACCAAAGATAATTAACCATTTCAGTGAATACCTTGTTTAGTAGCGCGGCTCGGCTTAACGTCCGGTAAATCCTAAATCAAAACCCAAATCATCGAGGCATAATAGTTCACACTAATTCGACTGGATCGTTCCACTCTAATCACTGCAGTCAGTAGCCTGACACCACTATTTATACACCCGGCGGAAAACATATATTCATAATTCCAGAGTGTCTCGCTCGAACCTCGGTGAAGTTGTTACTCATTTTCTTCCTATATGACACATTTGTACCCACTTACATCTAAAAATAACGACCAGTATTCATATTTCTTTTTTCTATTGTAATATTTTTTTAAAGTTGTTAAGCTCAAATATTTAACGATGCGATAGAGGAATTTTTATTGACATTTTATTGTCGTAACACTAGGCATGGATAATTCGACTGGAAAGTTCCTTTCAATAGTCACTCAATAATCACTAACTAATCAACCAATAATCAGTGCAGTCAGTAGCCTGACACCGTTATTTATACAGCTGGCGGGAAACATATATTCCTAAGTCTAGAGTGTCACGCTCGAACATCGGAGTTGGTAGTTACTCATTTTCTTCATGTATGGAACAAAGAAAGAAAGAAAGAAAGAAAGAAACAAAGAAAGAAAGAAAGAAAGAAAGAAAGAAAGAAAGAAAGAATACCTTGAAGAAGAAAAGGGGAAGAATCAGATAAGAAAGAAGCAAAGAAAGAAACAGAAAGAAAGAAAAAGAAAGGTATAAAAGAAAAGAGGAAAAATCATATCAGAAAGGTTTGAAAGAAAGAAAGAAAAGTTTAAAAGAAAAGCGACAGAAAGATTTGAAAGAAAAGTGAAAAAAAAAAGAGAAAGAAAAGTTTGAAAGAAAGAAAGAAAGGAAACAAGGAAAGCTTTGAAAGAAAAGTGGAAGAATCAGATAAAAAAGAAAGAAAGAAAGAAAGAAAGGGGAAGAATCAGATAAGAAAGAAAGGTTTCAAAGAAAAGAGAAAGAAAGAAAGTAAGAAAGAAAAAAGTAAGAAAAAAGAAAGGAAGAAAAAAGAAAGAAAGAATGATTGAATGAATGAAAGAAATTAATCAAAATTGGAATAAATACATTAAATTAAGAATAAAAACTAAGAAAATATGAAGGAGAAAAAATAAAAGGAGTAAAAATGAAGTTTTAACGAATGAAAAAAAGAAAGAATCACAAAAAGTGAAAAAGAAAGAAAAGCGGAAAAATAAACAATGAGAAATAACGGAATCATAGAATGAAAAATGAGAGAAATAAATAAAGAAAAGATGGAGAAAAACAGTAGGAGAAAAAAAGGAAAGAATGAAGGAACATAAATGAGGAAAATAAGAAATTATAGAATGAAAAAGGAAAGAAAAAGAAAAAAGAAAGAAGGAAGAAAATATTGTTTAAATGCGAAATAAAGAAAGTAAGCAAAAAAGCGATATAGAAAGAAAGAAAGTAAGAAAGAAAAAGAGGATAGTAGTAGAAATAAAAAGAAGGTAAAAAGAAGAAAAGAGAATGGTAGTAGAAAGAAAGAAAGAAAGAAAGAAAGAAAGAAAGAAAGAAAGAAAAAGAGGATAGTAGGAGAAATGGAAAGAAGGTAAGAAGAAGAAAAGAGAATGGTAGTAGAAAGAAAGAAAGAAAGAAAGAAAGAAAGAAAGAAAAAGAGGATAGCAGAAGAAATGGAAAGAAAGAGGAACGAAGGAGAAAAGAGAGTGGTAGTAGAAAGAAAGAAAGAAAGAAAGAAAGAAAGAAAAGAAAAGAAAAAAAGAAAAAAGAGGATAGTAGTAGAAATAGAAAGAAGGTAAGAAGAAGAAAAGAGAATGGTAGTAGAAAGAAAGAAAGAAAAAAGAAAGAAAGAAAAAGAGGATAGTAGGAGAAATAGAAAGAAGGTAAGAAGAAGAAAAGAGAATGTTAGTAGAAAGAAAGAAAGAAAAAAGAAAGAAAGAAAAAGAGGATAATAGTAGAAATAGAAAGAAAGAAGGAAAGATAAAGGAAAGAGAGTGGTAGTAGAAAGAAAGAAAGAAAGATAGAAAAAAAGAAAGAAAGAAAGAAAAAGAGGATTGTAGTAGAAATAGAAAGAAGGTAAGAAGAAGAAAAGAGAATGGTAGTAGAAAGAAAGAAAGAAAGAAAGAAAGAAAGAAAGAAAGAAGGAAAGAAAATAAAAATAAAAAAAGAGGATAGTAGTAGAAATAGAAAGAAGGTAAGAAGAAGAAAAGAGAATGGTAGTAGAAAGAAAGAAAGAAAGAAAGAATGAAAGGATAGTAGTAGAAATAGAAAGAAAGAAGGAAAGATAAAGGAAAGAGAGTGGTAGTAGAAAGAAAGAAAGAAAGAAAGAAAGAAAGAAAGAAAAAGAGGATTGTAGTAGAAATAGAAAGAAAGAAGAAGAAAAAAGAGTGGTAGTAGAAAGAAAGAAAGAAAGAAAGAAAGAAAGAAAGAAAGAAAAAAAGATGGAAAGAAAAGAAAAAAGAAAAAAGAGGATAGTAGGAGAAATAGAAAGAAGGTAAGAAGAAGAAGAAAAGAGAATGGTAGTAGAAAGAAAGAAAAAATGAAAGAAAGAAAGAAAGAAAGAAAGGATAGTAGTAGAAATAGAAAGAAAGAAGGAAAGATAAAGTAAAGAAAGTGGTAGTAGAAAGAAACAAAGGAGAAAGAAAGAAAGAAAGAAAGAAAAAGAGGATAGTAGGAGAAATGGAAAGAATGAGGAACGAAGAAGAAAAAAGCGTGGTAGTAGAAAGAAAGAAAGAAAGAAAGAAAGAAAGAAAGAAAGAAAGAAAGAAAGAAAAGAAAAGAAAAAAAGAGGATAGTAGTAGAAATAGAAAGAAGGTAAGAAGAAGAAAAGAGAATGGTAGTAGAAAGAAAGAAAGAAAGAAAGAAAGGATAGTAGTAGAAATAGAAAGAAAGAAGGAAAGATAAAGGAAAGAGAGTGGTAGTAGAAAGAAAGAAAGAAAGAAAGAAAGAAAAAGAGGATTGTAGTAGAAATAGAAAGAAGGTAAGAAGAAGAAAAGAGAATGGTAGTAGAAAGAAAGAAAGAAAGAAAGAAAGAAAGAAAAAAGAAAAAAAGAGGATTGTAGTAGAAATAGAAAGAAGGTAAGAAGAAGAAAAGAGAATGGTAGTAGAAAGAAAGAAAGAAAGAAAGAAAGATGGAAAGAAAGAAAAAAGAAAAAAGAGGATAGTAGTAGAAATAGAAAGAAGGTAAGAAGAAGAAAAGAGAATGGTAGTAGAAAGAAAGAAAGAAAGAAAGAAAGAAAGAAAGGATAGTAGTAGAAATAGAAAGAAAGAAGGAAAGATAAAGGAAAGAGAGTGGTAGTAGAAAGAAAGAAGGAAACAAAGAAAGAAAGAAAAGAAAAGAAAAAAAGAAAAAAGAGGATAGTAGTAGAAATAGAAAGAAGGTAAGAAGAAGAAAAGAGAATGGTAGTAGAAAGAAAGAAAGAAAGAAAGGATAGTAGTAGAAATAGAAAGAAAGAAGGAAAGATAAAGGAAAGAGAGTGGTAGTAGAAAGAAAGAAAGAAAGATAGAAAAAAAGAAAGAAAGAAAGAAAAAGAGGATTGTAGTAGAAATAGAAAGAAGGTAAGAAGAAGAAAAGAGAATGGTAGTAAAGAAAGAAAGAAAGAAAGAAAGAAAGAAAGAAGGAAAAGAAAAGAAAATAAAAAAGAGGATAGTAGTAGAAAATAGAAAGAAGGTAAGAAGAAGAAAGAGAATGGTAGTAGAAAGAAAGAAAGAAAGAAAGAATGAAAGGATAGTAGTAGAAATAGAAAGAAAGAAGGAAAGATAAAGGAAAGAGAGTGGTAGTAAAAGAAAGAAAAGAAAAAGAAAGAAAGAAAAAAAAAGAGGATTGTAGTAGAAATAGAAAGAAAGAAGAAGAAAAAGAGGGTAGTAGAAAGAAAGAAAGAAAGAAAGAAAGAAAGAAAGAAAAAAAAAATGGAAAGAAAAGAAAAAAAAAAAAAAAAGGAGGATAATAGGAGAAATAGAAAGAAGGTAAGAAGAAGAAAAGAGAATGGTAGTAGAAAGAAAGAAAGAAAAAAAAGAGGATAGTAGGTAGAAATAGAAAGAAAGAAGGAAAGAAAGAAAAGAGGATAGTAGAAAACAGAAAGAAAGAATGAAAGAAGAAGAAAAAGAAAGTTGTAGTAGAAAGAAAAAGAAAGAAAGAAAGAAAAAAAGAAAAATGAGGATAGTAGTAGAAAAAAGAAAGAAGGTCAGATGAAGAAAAGAGAATGGTAGTAGAAAGAAAAAAAAGAAAGAAAGAAAGAAAAAAAAAAGAGGATAGTAGTAGAAAAGAAAAAGAAGGTAAGAAGAAGAAAAAGAGAATGGTAGTAGAAAGAAAGAAAGAAAGAAAGAAAGGATAGTAGTAGAAATAGAAAGAAAGAAGGAAAGATAAAGGAAAGAGAGTGGTAGTAGAAAGAAAGAAAGAAAGAAAGAAAAAAAGAAAGAAAGAAAGAAAAAGAGGATTGTAGTAGAAATAGAAAGAAGGTAAGAAGAAGAAAAGAGAATGGTAGTAGAAAGAAAGAAAGAAAGAAAGAAGGAAAGAAAAGAAAAAAGAAAAAAGAGGATTGTAGTAAAAATAGAAATAAGGTAAGAAGAAGAAAAGAGAATGGTAGTAGAAAGAAAGAAAGAAAGAAAGAAAGATGGAAAGAAAGAAAAAAGAAAAAAGAGGATAGTAGTAGAAATAGAAAGAAGGTAAGAAGAAGAAAAGAGAATGGTAGTAGAAAGAAAGAAAGAAAGAAAGAAAGGATAGTAGAAATAGAAAGAAAGAAGGGAAAGATAAAGGAAAGAGAGTGGTAGTAGAAAGAAAGAAGGAAAGAAAGAAAGAAAGAAAAGAAAAGAAAAAAAGAAAAAAGAGGATAGTAGTAGAAATAGAAAGAAGGTAAGAAGAAGAAAAGAGAATGGTAGTAGAAAGAAAGAAAGAAAGAAAGGATAGTAGTAGAAATAGAAAGAAAGAAGGAAAGATAAAGGAAAGAGAGTGGTAGTAGAAAGAAAGAAAGAAAGATAGAAAAAAAGAAAGAAAGAAAGAAAAAGAGGATTGTAGTAGAAATAGAAAGAAGGTAAGAAGAAGAAAAGAGAATGGTAGTAGAAAGAAAGAAAGAAAGAAAGAAAGAAAGAAAGAAGGAAAAGAAAAGAAAAATGAAAAAAAAGAGGATAGTAGAAAATAGAAAAGAAGGTAAGAAGAAGAAAAGAGAATGGTAGTAGAAAGAAAGAAAGAAAGAAAGAATGAAAGGATAGTAGAAAATAGAAAGAAAGAAGGAAAGATAAAAGGAAAGAGAGGGTAGTAGAAAGAAAAAGAAAAAAGAAAGAAAGAAAGAAAGAAAGAAAGAAAAAGAGGATTGTAGTAGAAATAGAAAGAAAGAAGAAGAAAAAAGAGTGGTAGTAGAAAGAAAGAAAGAAAGAAAGAAAGAAAGAAAGAAAGAAAAAAAGAAGGAAAGAAAAGAAAAAAGAAAAAAGAGGATAGTAGGAGAAATAGAAAGAAGGTAAGAAGAAGAAAAGAGAATGGTAGTAGAAAGAAAGAAAGAAAAAAAAGAGGATAGTAGGTAGAAATAGAAAGAAAGAAGGAAAGAAAGAAAAAGAGGATAGTAGTAGAAACAGAAAGAAAGAATGAAAGAAGAAGAAAAGAAAGTTGTAGTAGAAAGAAAGAAAGAAAGAAAGAAAAAAGAAAAATGAGGATAGTAGTAGAAAAAGAAAGAAGGTCAGATGAAGAAAAGAGAATGGTAGTAGAAAGAAAGAAAGAAAGAAAGAAAGAAAGAAAGAAAGAAAAAGAGGATAGTAGTAGAAATAGAAAGAA